GTCAAACTGATTTCACGAGTTGTCAAAGAGTCCAGCGATTCCCTTTTCCCAGGTGAGCGCCGATTCATTTCGCTTCAATATTCAGGAATGCTCTCGATCTCTTTACGCTTTCATTCCCTTTCGCTCGACATGTTTTGCACGGCGTTTAGTCATGCAAAACCTCCACGAAACATCCACGCAGCGCGCGAGGTAACTTTATCCCAATTCTAAAAATAACTCGAGACGAATTACCTATGGAATGGGGTGTGTATGGGGGATGCCTTCTCTGTCCCCTTTATCCTCTCTCACTCAGAGTCCATTCGAGCTGCAGGAATAATTGTTAAATAGCGTACGTACCCAATTACTAAGTACCTATCCAACTAACCTGTACAAAGCAGTTGTATGGTTAGAAGAGTTAAGTGGCATATTCTTTTATACTGAGTTAAAATTGACCAGCCTGGAAACACGACGATGCTGCAGAAATTAACAATTAATGAATGAGGCTGAGTATCTTATGAAGAATTATGGAGATAAAGGAGGGTGTTATCCGACGAGGCCGTAGGCGGATAACACCCTCCGAGATCTCCATAATTCTTTATTTATTGACATTTTATTCCACGAGGGAACGAAATGTGAACCTCTTTAAGAGAGCTATTTTTTCAGCATACCGGTATATATAAGAAGAAAGAAAGCTAAGTTTGGCCAAACTGGAAGAAAGTGTGAAAAAAACTCTTCACTGCATAGAATTCCCAACTTGATTGTTTCCATATTAGCGCTTCATGATCGCAGTGGCAGTCACACCACAATGGCAAATGTTCTGAGGCGCATAAGGAAACGTTTCCCAGAAATAGGTCATTAGAGCATGAATTTCTCAGAACAATATTAAACATAACGTACTTTGGGAATTTATACCATCAACGGTATTCGGTCCCAGCCGCTAGTTCGAGAGGACTGACCTCGAGAATGCTATTTATTCAGTATTTCAGTGTACTTTTAATATCCTGACTTTATCAAACTGCTCTTGCAGTTCTGACATTGAGATGAGTCATCGAGTATGTGATAAGTTAGAAAAGAAGAGATGGCAAAAGTTCGATCCGTCGGCCGTGATTGCCGCGCAAACCAGTAATTTATAACATCGGCCGAGAAGAACCTGGATTCAAGAAGCCTAAGCTCCTATACACTGGTCGAACGAACAACTTAAAAAGGAGACTTAAAGAACACGTAAGACAAAAATTTAAACGTTATGACAAGTCTAAACTACGCATAAAGTTTGTTTTTGAACCAAAGCAGAAGACAATGGAAAGAGCTTATATTGAGTGTCAAAGGAAGAAGGGGAACAACCCTTTACTGAACAAGAGAGCTGGAGACGAAACCCCATCTCGTGCAAAAAGGTAGAAAAAGGAAGACTAAAGACTGCTGTTCGGGGGGACTGACGCTTGAGGATGCCCTTTTTCTTTACTTGGTGGCTGCCTTAATTATCGTAGAACCCGACCAATAAGGCTTTGTCTGTTTTTATAGTTGGTCAGTAAGTCTGTAGCCTGTAAAAACTGAGCCGGGAGGACAAAAAAAGCAGTACTGTAGCAGCTATCCTAAGGTCTACTGTGATTGGCTCACAGAGTGTGAAGGGTTGCGAGGGTTTCAAACCAATGATATTGTTCGTATGGTGTCACGTTCGTTCCGCCTCGTTCATAATTTTCGCGCGTGTGGAGGGAGTGCTGGTTTCAAGCGTTGCAAGGGTTTCAAGCGTTGCGAGGGTTTCAAGCGTTGCGAGGGTTGCAAGGGTTGCGAGGGTTTCAAGCGTTGCAAGGGTTTCAAACATTGCGAGGGTTTCAGCTGGTGGATCATCAAACTGCTTGAGAACTCTGAGAGACTAATGCCTCTTATTTCCCTTTTTAATTATGTATAGTCTACATGATGGGTTAGTGATGGGTCCAATTCAGATCACTGCTCAGGGGCACCCAACGGGAAATTTTGAGAAAAAGACCTAAAAACAACAACAAAGCGTAAATAAAGTTTTCTGAGACTATTTTAAGCATTCTGGGAGATTGCTGGAAAAAAATTATCTGTTCCTCACTCCCAGCAAGACTGATGGAAGAGTTCCCAGCCAGCAACCTTACAACCTGCAACCTGACTTACTGGGAAGTTTCATAGGGCACAATTCAGATCTTGAGTGGTAAGTAACCCATACAAGTAACCTGTAGCAGCTACTCTAGACTTCAAATCCCCTCTGACACCCTGAATTATCTTTTTCCCAGCAACACTTTCCTTCCAAGGACTATTATTTCTTCCACATCTCCCAGCCAGCAAAAATGTGCCTGAAGAACAGATATTTTGAGGAACAGATCCATTGGGTGCCCCTGACTGCTAACATAAACTCCAAGCAGCTTTATAAACTGTGACCCTTTCGATTCTGTTGCCATCAATGTATTTATGCCGATACCCTAAAAGTAACTTCGGGAGCTCTATTGAAGTCACGCTATTGTTCTGATACAATACAACAGACAGAAAACCACTCGAGTGTTGGCATTATTGGCCACTTGTCTGAGTGGCAGTTTCACTGATTATCAAACCGATGCATTAGTTAACAACGATAATTCCGAGTGAAGAGAGTTTATAATCTCGTCACGCGGGAATCTATTAAAGAGAGATCTAGAAGTTCAAGTTCAAGTTTATTTAAAAACCCTTCTGATACAAACCATAATTAATACTTGCCCGCAAAGTAAGAAGAAATTAAGAAATTAAACGACAAGCAGATATAGGGTCTCCTATAAGATCAATCCATTCTGCACTTTACATTACTGACAAATTCATGTAATAAATGGGTGGAGAGGATGGCTGTGATGGGAGTTTGGGCACTTATTCAAATTGCCTAGTGGACACAGATGACGGAAAGCAAAAGAACAAAAACCATCATGACGATTTCCCCTGAACATAAAACAAAGAAGTCTTTTGTTTTACGTCATCTTTGTCCAGTACACGAAGTTTTGACCAGAATTTGGACTCCATAAATATCTGGACAAATTGTGAATTCATTTGGTCAAGGAAAGTGTGCATTTGACTGTCAGTCTGGGAATTTCAACCTCATGCATGTTGAGAATTGAGAAACTGATCACCTTCCACATGACTTGTAACAAATGCAAACACTGTCATATAGTTCACTTAAACAATAAATATTTTCTTCTCCAATTACCAGCATTTACTTGTTATTTTCACTGCAGCATTATCCCCTACCATTTCATCCACTCACTACTAATGACTTCACAAGTAGTTATTATAGAACTATTCGGCTAACTCAATGTTGTACCCAATTCAAATCTCCCGGGGATAAGATTCTTTGTGTGTTGTATTTGCATTATATTGTGGCATTCACATTTGAATGATATGGAAATTACTGAAACAAAACGTTTTATTCCCAAGGGGTTAATGAATTGGGTACAACATTGAGTTAGCCGAATAGGTCTATTACTTACGGATATCTCCCTGAGAATTGATCCTTCCATACGTTTAATCTTTGCCTGATTGTCCCTCATTTTTATATCTACACCACAGCCAAAGAAAGCGAACCATGTAGTTTCTTAGCCTTTAAAGCGTTTCTGAAATACAAATTTCCTATAGAGCCTTCAAGTGTCCGTGAATCCCTGAGCCTTTAGCTGCAAACAAGCTTGACTTGTTTAGTTATTTCTGTTATTTGGTTATTTTTTTTTACCTATCTATTTCATTTTTTGTAATTAATAATTGCAACATTCTGTATAGCAGTTGTATGTTGTCTGTTCCTTTTATTTCAATTTTGTAACGTCTTTCTTTGTTTGTTAATATTGTATATTGTATTGTACTTATCAACAAACTTCAATTTAAAAAAAGTTATGATTTCACTTATTACTTAAGATGGCATGGGTTAGCTGCATTTATTTGCCTCCAGTTGTCCACCATCACACCCATTTCCTTTTGACTATAATTACACATGTAGGAGGGTCAAACAGGATTAACTACATCTCACCTTCCAATATTAGAGCCAGTATTGAAACTCGCCATCCCAAGCTACACAATTTACTCCAATTCTCTCCCCCTTCCATCCCTGACATTTTATGGGCGTCTCCTCCTCCCCCCCCCCCCCCTCCCACCCCCGCCTAGGTTCGCGAGGTTCTGCGATACACGTATTTCCAGTTAACTTGGTTGTCCGAATAAACCGTGTACGGTCGACCTTTATATCATTTAACTGAATGATTTTTTCTTATACTCTAACCATCCTTGTCTACAGTATACATACATGCAAGTCAAAACCCCTTAAATTGGATGCGTATTGACCCGAGTCTTCAGTAAACATCAGTGGTAAAACAAATATGTTTGGAAACAAGCTACTGTCCTAAACATATCACTAGTTGTTTAACGAACACGCATCCTCACAGATCTTAACGGGTCAGAAAATACTCCGTAAATAACCCTGTGAGTCAGACACACAAAAATGGCGTTCTCGCCTTATTTTAGTCGAGAGACTGCGATTTTAATTAGCCACTTTAGATGTCGACAGATATTTGACTAGAATTTACTGTGGCATTTTTTGATTACTTTTTCGAGGCTGTGCTGTCGGGTTCATTTTGCATATCTTGGCAGATTTTGAGAATGTTACATGTACCTACATCTACATCTACATAAATTTTAAGTCCTACAAAGGCGGATATCCATCACTGCAAGACATTAAAATAAACTAATGAATAAATACATATTGTTAAAATTCAAAAAAAAGAAAGAAAATAAAATAAACAATAAATAAATAACAAAATAATTTAAAAAGTAAATGAATTTAAGCAAAAAAAAAAAAAAATTGAATTGAGCTTACAGATGGCCAAATAAAGAAATAAACACTGTAGTAGGTAAATAAAAAAAATTGGAAATTGAGATAAAAAATACTAACAATATAAATGCAGTAAATGTCATTTGTTAGTTAAAAACTTTGAAAAATTATGCCAATACCGCCAAATTGACAAAAAGGTATTTTTCGGCTCCAAAGTAGCCATTATCCCTCATTTTTTCTTTCTATACCTTTCCTTTTTCTCTGTTAATGTGATTTTCAAGCTCATCGCAACACTTAAAACCCTTGCAACGCTTGAAACCCTTGCAGCACTTGAAACCCTTGCAATGCTTGAAACCCTTGCAACACTTGAAACTCTTGCAACACTTGAAACCCCTCGCAATGCTTGAAACCCTTACAACACTTGGAACCCTTGCAACGCTTGAAACTCTTGCAACACTTGAAACCTTCGCAACGCTTAAAACCCTTACAACACTTGGAACCCTTGCAATGCTTGAGACCCTTGCAACACTCTAAACCCTTGCAGCACTTGAAACCCTCGCAACGCTTGAAACCCCTGCAACACTTGGAACCCTTACCCTTAATTCGTATCAGAGTCATATTTCCTTGATGTTTTTTAAAAATAAAGCCAGGTTTACAGCTTTTAAATTCTCGGAAACTGAGCACGACTTGATTTTCTTAGAAGTCACGCTAGACTAACATTTGTCATACCCTGTCCTTAACTTACATAGAAGACGTCGCCATTTATACAAATCAGGTTCAAAAATTGAAAGAGCCTGTTAGTTTGAGCAGTTTTCAGCTCCTTGCAATCAATGATAAAGGAAATAGCATCATCAAAAACTATGAAATTGCTGGCCGGCAAAACCTGATATACAGTCAAGCCAGGTGAAGCGTATCCCCGATTCTGAAGATTCCATAAATGAATTTATTATTTGAAAGTTGAACCGTTATGTTGCCACAACCAGTATAAAATTCAAATCTGCACTCCTGCATGCTTAATAAGCAGTGAATTTTTTACGATATCTCATTGTCTGTATTCGGTCAGCATAGAATGAACAAAATTTTCGGAATTTGAGTCTGATATGAAATTGCATAACTATATACCTTGCGTGTGTGCAGTTCGTTAGCCTGTTCCAGGCTCCGAGATGGTGGCGGAAAGTCGTTCAGTAATAAGAAATGCGAAAAATCGCGCATAGTATCTGAGAGCCTGGCACAGGCTAGCAGTTCGTTGGTCATTACACATGCCGGAATGCAGAGACAAATCTGAAATCCACAACCACCGACGGATTCAAGTTTCGAATAATAAATTCCTTGATGGCATCTTTCGGGGACGCTCAAGGACCTGGCTCGACTAGTAAACTCATACATTCTTTGAAACCTTTCGAGTTTTTGAAAGAGAATTTCGTTCAAACTATTCCGCATATTAGGCTCAAAGTTTTAGAGATAACTGAAAACGTTATGCTCTTTCAACAGTCAGAGATAAGCATATGTTAATGAGCGGTGAGTAATTAGCGTTTGGCATGTGGCATGGCTTGCGGAATATATAATAATTATGCGGAATGTAATATATGCAGACTGACTTAAAGAAATAAATTAAACTGAAAATTGTGCCCTGTTTTGGCGCGAATCAACTCACAAGCAATCGCTCTTTGATGTTGCGGGCTCGACTACGATGACAATCAAAAAGCCAGGAAAGACTCCTTGATTTCATACGGGCGATTAGCTTTTTGCTCAGCCACAAACATTCTACTTGCCTTTATTAGTCGAGCTGCTGGCAGCACCGATACTACATCACGAAAGTCGGCCATTGAACTGAAAAGATTTTTTTGGAAGGTCACGATATCAAGGTCAAAATATTTGCACGATTAACGTCACTTTTTCACCTATATTTATAATGAAACCGCGTGTCTGATAGTGACATTATATTCAGAGATCGAACCTATTTTGTATTTTGTTTCCTTGGCTATGTGGTGAAGTTTCAGGGACGCGAAGCTAACACACCTAACAGCTGGCGGAGAAGAGCGAGCTCAAATCCAGGCAATCGAGGCTGTGTGCTTTTTCTCTTTCTTTCCTTCTTTTCTTTTTCTATTCGTTCCTACTTTTAGAATTTTTTCTCCTTCACCTTTACCTTTATTAGGTTAGTAAAACCGGTCGGGCATCAAACCTGTTAAAAAAATACATGTTAAGGACTTGGCGAGTTCTCGATCAGGGAAGAGACGCGGAAAGGCCGAAAGGAGACAGAGAGAAGTTCGCCGCTTCACTCAATTTGTGGATTACGGATTAATGCTTGACTCGAGGAGTTCATTTAGTCTCCAGTATGATCTGAATCGCTCACCGAATTAAAAATCCCTAGAACTGTAGTTATACCGACTTCACATTCAGCGAGAGTGTTTTACCCTGTAGCGTTATGATAAAGAGTGTACCCTATTTGGTGTATCAGCTGTGTCTTAATTTTAGCCTGGTGATTGCTCTTTCAAATTTGGCGCCAAAGAAGGCACGGCAGAGACGCGCGCATGCTTTCCTTTTTAATTTATTTCTTTGCGCCATTTTCCATAAATTAAATTCCTCAATTAAATTATGTCTCTCCGCAAGCCACGCCACATGCCATTCCGCAAACTCATTCCGCCTTTTACCCTCACCGGTTAATGAGGTCAAAAATGTAAACAAGGATTCGCCTTCTTATCATAGAAAATCGACGCGACTTAAATTAACGTGAATTAAGTAGAAAAGGACTTCGATTAGAGGAAATTAAGGCGAAAGAGTAGCACTTCAAAATGAAGTAAAATAATTTCCTATTATAAGGTATATTGTAGGCACCTGGTTTTACTGAGTAAACAATAAATTATAGTAACCGGCAACTTATTCTATCTTTTTACCCAGTTTGACACTGGTCTTTTTTTCTTTGGTGTTTCCTCACAATAAGAGCCTATAGGAAGAAAACTCATCATTTGGCTTTGATCACAGCATAATTCGTCATTACGAGCATAATTTTCCTGTAGAACAAGAGCGTTTCATCGCATCGATCCTGCGCGCACTTCTTAGGGCCTTTGGCTATTACTACTGAGTTTGAGTTCTTTCTATCAGCGGTCTGAGAGAATGTATCTTTCTAGTTTTTTGTCTTTTTGTGTTAACTTGTGTACAAACAGTAAAATAATTTGCTACCTAGAATATGCGACTCCGATTTTTCAAATATTAGCGACTTTCACCATCACCAAAAACGCTCGAGAACGAATCAAAATGTGTTTACCCCGCGACCTAGAACTAATTAAGGCAAATTCAATGTTAGATACCCTTCTCCTGAATGCACTGAATGGAGCATTTCCTCAAAGTTTTAGAAAAGAACTAAACGAATAACTTTTAAAATCCGAAGCCTGAGAGTCGGTGACTTCCTGCATAGTAATCTTAGCTTGTATTTCTGGGCTTTTTTTTGGAAAACCAGCCTAACGAAATTCAGTCGCAGTTGAGTGAAAAAGGGTCAAAAGGCAGTTACTACTGCGCCCGAAAATCACAATAACGAAGGTAAAGGAAAGAAGAAAAAGAAAGAGCGAGGAGGAAGAAAGAAGGAGAAGAGAAAAAAGGAATGGCTAAACTCTTTGGTTTTATAATGGCTATTTCGTAGATAGTTTTTGGCCAAAAGAAACTGTTTGACGGACGAGGTCCATTTGGCGGTAACGTTTACAAAACTCCGGCTAGATATATCTTCCCTTTTCTTTTAATTTTGTTCACGACTTATTGTTCATTAACGGTTAATTACGCTATTAAAACGTTTCTGGTTGTTTTCAAAGATTGATGTGGTATAGGCCCTTTGCATTTCGTCATTCATGTGATACTAACAAACCACCATGCTGGAGAGGAAGGGACGCACTGCCGGGTCAAGACAAACAAAGAGGTCGCATCATTTAAAATGGTAATTTCCTCTGTTTGGCTTGTTTCGGTGAGTCTATTATTATTTTCCAAACAGCATGGCGGTTTTGTACCTCGACTACGAGTAGCCCCCCATTTTTCCTCAGGGATAGTAGAGCGAGCGAAACGCGAGCGCGCGTGAAAATAACCGCACGTGAGAAAAGGAGACACGCGGACGGGAGAGAGAAATCATTTTTCTCTCTTCCCGCCGCGTGGGGTGATTTTCACGCGCGCTCGCGTTTCGCTCGCTCTATTATCCCTGAGGAGAAATGGGGGACTATTCGTAGTCTATTTTTTACCACGTGTACAAAGGGCCAATTAGGCGCAATTCCCCGATCGACTGGTATTTTCCAGCGTCACATTTCTTTGGGAAATTGCAGTGAAGCATAAATTCCCCTGCCTGGAAAGGCCCCTTTTAACAGGTTAACAGATATTTTAAACTCCTTTTAGATTCCAAAGCAGAGATGAGTGGCCAAAAAGTTTGTGATGATCTGCTAAAAACGCCATGGCAAAAGTATGATACAAAGTCATCCTCTGCACCTGAGAAGCCGGGTATTTATGCCATCGGTCAAAAAGGTAATAACAGCGAAGAAACTAAGTACTTGTACGTGGGGAAGTCAAACAACATGAAGAGAACGTTACAGGAGCACAAAAGTCCAACTCCTCAACAATACATCGACAAGAGAGTGGCTAGAAAATTTAAGCAACACAGAGAATCCGAGCTCAGGATCAAGTGCGTTGAAACAAAAAGACAAAAAACAGTAGAGGGGCCATGCATTGAAAGTTTGACAAAGAAGAAAGGATATTTTCCTGTGCTCAACAAGCGCCAAGGAGACGGTGCAGCATGCTCAATGAAAAGCAGTCCACAAAAAAGTAGACCAAAAGTGCAATCATCTGGTGGAGGATCCTCTTCTGTCAGAACCATCCGACCGTCTGGAGGACAGCGTATGTGCGGGCATCTGGTAGTGCCTCTTGGTTCAGTTCTAAAGCACGTCCAATGCCGACCGTACGAGCTTCTTTCGGGGCATCCCGTCGACGAAAGTAGTACTAGGTGACAAAAGCATCCATCCATACCGTAAACATTTTATATGCCTATAGCGCAAAAAAAGCTAGAGAAACTAAGACGATGTCAACAATCACCTTTAGGCTGTGTATCAAACTGTATCAAGATTTTCTTTTGCAACCGACTGAAATAATGTCTTTTTCCATCGTTTTTGTCTCAAGTTGTAGAAAAAGTAACTTTTTTATTTTAATCCCAGGCTAAGGCTTCGATTTTTTCCCCTGGATATTGAAAATTACGTTAGCACAAGGTTATGTGTGTTATAGACCTTTCTGGTGCCAGCGAGCGCTCTCCAGGTAAAGCTTAAGACGTCTTTCACAAAGAATTGCAGAGGGTTAATGACAATCTTTGAGTGAGTATTTTAGAATTTACTTCACAAGAGATCTTTTGGATGATCCGATCTGCATTATACGTGCCTGGGAAACTGCCCCTCCTGGCCCTCCCCTAAGCCAACATTTTGCTCTAAGTGAGAAGTGAGTGTTTATGTTGGCTTAGGGGAGGGGTAGGTGGGTAGTTTCCTAGCAACGTGTAGTGATTCTTGCACATGTCTCGGGCTTTTAGTTTGTACCCGTCCTTGCCCCAACTTTCTTAAACTGAAGTCTAATAAAAAGACTTGTTTTGTATTATCTCACTAAAAGTTTCCTTGCATGCTGTCATTGCAACTTGTTTTAAGTAGCTTCTGGTTGAAATCCGCAATCATAGCGTAATTGAGCGTATTCCATCCGATCCAAGACTGAATGCGTTAAGCTTTGATTTTGATGCTTTAGATATTAAAGGGCAATCGGCAAGATTGTCATTTGGTAATAAATTCCTTGTATAGACAGTTCACTCGCACGCTAATTCCATTCTTGGAAACCAAGAGAGTAAAATATTTGGTGAAAACTAGTCACGACTACTGACTCTTTTTCTTAGCAATACATCTGGCTCGTCTTTCCTGAAAGCTCTAGAGGCTCCCGCTGGGTATCACAGTAAAAATAGCAATAATCGGAAAATAGAAAGCGCACGCTTCTTTCTCCCCAGCCTCCCTACAACACAAAGAGACCTCTGCGGAGGAGAGAGCAAAGCTCCGCCGGGGTCCCGCCTAAAGAAGCTCCGCAGTTTTAAGCGCGCCGGTGGACACGCTTTTTGTCCATTAAAATAAAATTTAAATAGAAGACGTAACAAATAGCAAATCTTTGTCAAAACAGTCTTAAAACCACCGATGATATTTAGAGAAACCCTCCACTGGCTTTGGGCCTTGTCAAATTATGACTCTTGCTTTTGATCAGTTTACTGGAGTATGCCAAGAACACACAATGGTCCTCCCGTATCAAGTGCTGATTTCACCTTTTCTAGTTTGAAATGTCTACAATTTTGTAGCATGGTTTCACTTAGATTCATCTCGAAAATAAAACTAGTTAATTAAATTTAGGGGCTATATATTTCAAGTTGATTTTCTTTTTCTTGATTATAACTTTGACTGAGAATGATCCTTACCAATTTAGAAATGCCTATTGACAAACAGGTGACAGTTAGGCATGGGCTGGTCTATTAAGAAATATCATGAACATTTTATCTCTTCAAATAACTCCGATCCGCCCAGTTTTTGAATTAGAAAGATAAGAAAAAAAGACGTCGCTGGAATATTTGGCTGTGTATGTTGAGAACTGAAATGCCTGTCCGTGAAAGAGAATTAAAATTCTTGACGTTAATCTGTCGGGGAAAAGATGAGTTCATCTCTACTCACGCCGTTTTCTTTTGTGAAAGAGTTAGTTTCATGTGATTTCTTACCACTCTACGTATAATACAGTTAACCTTCTTATTCCACGATGAGTTGAAGTGCGCGATGGTAGGGTTGAAAGAAATAACTGTAGATTCGGATATAGATGTTTCACTCCGAAAGATTGTCATTGGAGAGGAAATTGGAAAAAAAATATGTCTAGCAGATGAGGCCATCAGAAACACAATGAAAAGATGTGACGGTTAAAAAAAGTGTTGCATTGTTCAGAAAAACTAATAACATATCACATGTTTTCCTTGTATCATTTTCAAAGGGGTCTTCAAACACGTTGTTACGATTTACAGAAAGTCAATGAGGTGAAAAGCTGTTTGGTTTAGCTGATAACAATTTTAATTGTTATCAAACAGTTTTAGAATGTCTTGGTATTGTATCTTACAAAACTGATTATTTCAATGCGCGAGAGATATTCAGAACCCTTCTTTTGCATTTCTTGTGTCATGTCCATATCCATTCAGTATTTGCATTATTCAGCGCGATGGTGTACAGTATAATGTCAGTTTGGCAACAAGAAGCTCGTTCTTAAAGTTTACTTGCTAACAAGAATTAACAATAAACGGATGTTGGCACATCAGTCATAGCGGAAGAGCGTAATCTTTCGGTTCAGGTACTTGACTCGACTAGAGCGACTACACCCCATAGCTAAATACAGAGTTACAGGTCAAGTTACTCTTAAAATGTCAATCTGGAGGGGGGTCTCCTTGAATTGTATATAAAAGGGAATGCTCCTCGTCATTTGCTTCAGCCGAAAGAATTGGATATGTTATATATTCAGGTAAAAAAATGGGTCATAAATGAAGAATGCACGAACTGGCTGACGTGTTAATGCAAAACACTAGGGGATGGGGTTAAGGAAGTTGTTTGTGGACAGCTGGTAGTTACCGATTAGGCTAGCCGGACTCACTCTCGCATGCTTCGCACACCGCCTCGCGCGTCCAGCCTCCTGGCAGGCTGCTTCCCCCCCTACAGCGATGAGGTTGAAAATATGCCGATATATATAAACCGGAAAATATAAGAAGACAATTCATCATCCTAGACAATCAAAATGTCTAGTATAGTTTCCGTGAGTTTATTAGTTCTCCCCTAAGACCGGAAATTCCAGTTCATTGCCTCGGATATCAAATCGCTCAGCTATGGTCGCTTGCCGCCCTTTTGTTATCTAGCAATCAAGACTGTGTTCTAATTATTTTGTCATCACTTTCGACTGTTATCAATCAAGAATAACGTCTCAGGCTTTTGGACAGAAAACGGCACTCAGCGGCGACTCAGCAACTTGACATACGGTAATAGCAAACTTCCCGAAGTCTAAGTGGATAGTTGTGAACTCGCAGCAGATCTTACTTTCTGGAATATTGTAGTCGAGAATTTTTCTGACTTCTCACTAGACGCGGGAAAGTTTACAGCATGAAAATTGCGGAGAGCACAATTTTTATCACGGCAGTTTTAGCTTCTGTTGCTGGTTTTCGTGGAGTTTCAAGGTCACACTCAAGCAGACATCTTCCCCTCTACAACTACAACAATCCGTACGCTCAAAGGTAAGCTTATTACATAGTGCAGTTTATTCTTGGTGTGATATAAAAATGACCGTTCTTCCTAAACTTAGTAAGCGTCCCCTTGAAAGTTCTGAGATGTAAATTTTACCTGGCTTAATATTCAACTCAGTAAAGCATGTTTTTCAGCTCGTCGTAAACTCAGACGCATTGAAAAGAGGATTAAAATTGTTACGTCTTGCTGTTTTGTATAAGTTAAATCGCGAGTTTCCTTAGTTTTCCCAAAATAGAGAACAAACGTACGAAAATATACTATTTTTCTTGCGGTGACTGAAACGTTTCAGGAGATAATTGCTTTCATATTGACACCAAGGCGCGAAAAGTCGCACCAAAATGAAGTGTTTTAACGCCTGCTAGAGTCTATTTCCTATAAAAACAAAGAAGGTGCGAGGCATCTACAGTTCACGCAAACCTTGAATTCACGCAATATCAAACGTGGTGTGGTCAACATCATATGCACAAAGCCTGTCATATGTCCTGCAACATTCTGTCACCTCTAGGGTAGCATTGCAAGACATGTAGGGCATGAAAAAACTGACTTATGCTTTTTCATGAATGGAACTGATGAGTACAAAAGTGTATGATTATCGCTGGTTATGACAGAACAAACCCGGCGCCATAAATCATCCGAGTTTCAATTTCTGGAAACATTACAGATTCTGGTTTGTCGTTTTCGGCGTACCTAACTTCCAACCTTTGACACGCGACAGTAAAGTTTCATTATTTTCGTGACGAAAGAGGAGAAAAATGAATTGTTTAATACTTGATATCCTAGTGACTCGGGGAAATACGAAAAGAATAATTTAACCTATCACTCTTGTGTCCCGCCATGTGGCGTAATCGACTGTATGGAATACTGATATGAGCCAGCTGAGTCAAGTTTCTGGACGAAAAGAAAAAAAAAAACCGAGATAATTCATAAACAGTCGCTAAAGAGAGATGACACTAGGAATTTGACTTTTTGTGACTATTATTGTTTTTGCCGGAAATTTTGTTTTGTTTTGGCTCTAAAATCAGACGAAATGGTCAACAGTCTTTGTTCTGGGAAAGTTTGTATTTGGCGGGAAAACGTCATCTTTGTGAAGGTCCGCAGGGTCGGAACCAGAAAATTCAGATAGCGGTGGCCGGGAAACTTGCCAGCTATATGGATTCTTTTTATTTCGCTGCCGTAATTGTAAAAATAATACAAAAATCAACAGAAAAAAGGGGAGAGGGTGGAGGGAGCGCGGCTTTCTCGGCCATCCTCTAAATCCTCCCTTGGTCCCGATGGGGTTCTACAATCCTGTCATCCCGATGGTTATTCGACAGTATCCAGCATCTCATGCATACTTTCAATCCCGAATCTCGACTCAATTTTTTTTGCCGTTCCCTGCTCCCCAGTGTCCCCGTTTTAATATCTTTCCCTTTGGCTTTTAAATCCCCAATCCCTGCCTTCAAATGAGGCAAGTCCCGGATCCCAAAAAAACTATTGAAGACCCGCCTCAATCAAAGTTGTCACACTGAGCTCTTCCTCATTCAACTCAAAACTGCATTCGATCATAAAACGGAAAAAGTGAAATTTTAGAGGCCTATCGGAGCGCTACGAATTAGCCAACACAAGGCTCTTGTGGAATAATAAGTTAGCAGCTTTTCCCTAGAAATGCCTGCTGCTCGTAGAAACTAAGAATTAAGCGAACAGTCCAAAGACCGCAACTCTGGGGCGTTTCAGATGAACAAACAACAAATCGCCCCCGCTAACTTTTTAAAAGAAAATCGGAAGTCACACGGTTATCTGCACTGTCAGACTCTTGTTAACCACCTATGTAATCTGTAGTAGCAACTAAACTAAAAGGAGGGTAATTACTTGTTGTTATCTCTTGAAGATAGATAAATTATGATATTATGACCTCCCTGAAAGTATCGATTGCAGAAAGCTACACGGGATAAGATAGATAAGACCACTGACGTCAGGAAAGAAAAGATATCTTGTTTCTGTCACTATTGATATCTACCACTACTTTTTACACATTTTCATGTAGATCCTATACATATGACTGATTCACTTAGAATTAATATCCCTAATTAATAATTTCTGTCTCCACTTATTCTAAGCGCTTTTTGGGAGTAGAGAAAATAAATTTTGGCCGTAAAGTTAGACGTTAGTACAACCTCTTTGTTTTGAGCGCTTATAATAGTGACAAACGTTTCTCGCACGATCTTTCACCCTCTTCAGAAGCTTCTTTGTGTCGTAAACGGAAAAAAATAAGCGCGCAGGGAACAATGGGGAGGGGAGTTCCCCTTTCCGTCGTCCACAACGCGCTTACTAAAACCCAGGCGGAGTCTTTGCGGAGAGGAGAGTGCAACCGACTCGTCCTTAGGGTATTCGAATTTCCCCGCCTCCTCCCTGTCATAATCAGAGAGGAGAAGGGGAATACAACTCCCCTATAAATAATTTTTAATGCTGTTGAAGTGATAAAGTTATATAGTAGCCATTTCTGAAATCGGTTGCAGCCAACACGGTTTCCAGTCACAAAGGCTGGTACTCGATCCTTCAAACAAGCTACCGCTGTACAGACGTACCAGTGTCAAGGCATCAAGTCCTCAAATACAAAGCCAAGAGCCTAGTACCCAGGCACCACCCCAGACCACCTCGGCCTCTGGCGGACAGTACTGCATTTACCAGAAGCCCAAGCAAGTGACTTGTAATGTAGCGCACATGAAAAGAGTGACCCACCAGTTCAAGTACTATTGTGGAACACAATCTCAGCAAAAAGTTTGTACTGGTCACAGGTGTGTTACAATTATAACTGAGTTAGACCATGAACAAACGCAAAAAACATACGCGCGAATAATTTACAGTAAAATTCGGAAAATAAGCCCCGGGGCTTATATTTTTCAAAGGCCTTTTTTGAGGGGCTTGTTTTTGGAGGGGCTTATATTCGGAGGGGCTTATCTATGCAGGGAAATCTGCGTTTCAAAATCGATTGGGCTAGCCTTATAGTTGGAAGGAAATTTACTGTTTTTGCTTTGTTTTACTTTTTGTATTTGAGGGCAATTTCCAAGTACAAGCCCCTGGGGGGCTTATATTTGGAGGGGCGGTTTAACGAAGGGTTTTTTGCGTTGCGAGTTTTGGGGGCTTATATTTGGAGGGACTTATTTTCGGAATTTTACGGCATTAGTTGAATTCAAGTTCTACATGCTAACTTTTTTTTTGGAAAAAGAAGTGAATGGTTATTTGTTTGTTTTCGCCACTGTTTCCTGCGCCTAAGACTTGGTTGCACGTTCCATGACGTGTGACACTGGTTTGACACTTTTTTTTTACATTTTTGTGGCCCTTGATTTTCCCGCCTCCAGCTACTCGGGCCGAAGTCACGTATCGCGTGTGGACGGGAAGCGTTGCGTGACTCGGGCCGAGTGACTGCACAGAAAACAACCTGTCCCGTTCAGATAGTGGGGTGTGGAGCAAAGTCAAAGGGCGGGTCGTTGTTCCCTGCTCACATCTCTTCGCGCCGTTCCCGAAATCTGAACGCCTGGAACAGGTTTCCCCGAAGAAGACAAGTAGAAGGCATTTGGTTAGCGCTTGATTGCATGTCATGGCCGGTGACACTGGTTGCATTATTTCCCGCCCTTTAACACAGTTTGCACAGTTTCTCACGCTAAAATTAGCAAGTTCTTCCGCGCTTGTAATTTTTTGTCTTCCCACAGCTTTTGATGCCTCTATTGCATTATTTGCGTTTGTTTTTGTTGGTAATAGTAGTGGTTTTGAGTCCATCTTGGAACCTCCATGTACGACCAATTTCCCAAAGCACTACAAACCCCTGCTACAGCCGAAACCTCCCGTTAACGATCACCTCTCGTAAACGACCGTAACAACTTCTTGGAGCATCAGTTTTATAACTTTCCATCGTTTTAAACCTCAATTGAAGCATGGTCTGAAATCTTAGATTTTGCTGTATGCACTACGATTTTCATAGTATACGTATAGAAAAAACTGCTAGTGACAACATGGAACTGTGTATTTCGTAAATTGCATGCAATAAATTCTCTTGCCAAATTTAATAAGTTGATACCATTCCTCTACTCAGAAGTTTGGGAGCAAGTCACCGAAAATCCTTCGCGAAGAAAATACCCTGAGGATAAAGAAAATACCCCGCGCATAACAATCCCACCAGCTACGCAGGCTGTACTCGGAAAAAGAGCCCCGTGGATCTATTCTCGTAATCTACCACCTCTCGTGAGCTACCGCTAAATCTTCGCATTTGTAGCGTCACTTATAACAGGTTCGACTGTATTTTCAGGATAACCTATCGTCCGCAGTATAAAATAGAGGTGAGAACAGTGATTACGTCGGTCAAAGACTGTTGTCCCGGCTTCACAGGAAAAGATTGCAGTCAAGGTGGGTGCTATTCTATCAAAGCAGAAACCCATAAGGGGTTGAAACGTGTAACTCTCACATGTTTGCTTTGTCCGATGCTCGTGATTATTCATTTTCAAAAGTACCATATTTGGAACGAGAAGAAGTGATAACTGACCAATCAAATTTCATAAACAACGTGACGTAATTTTCCTTCAGGTTTCCGCGCTCGCTTAAAAAAATGGCCGACAAACGGGGGAAAAACTCCTGAAAACCGAGAAAGCTTTCAAAGGTTGAAACCAGGAATATTACCGAAACACTGAGCAGGATATTATTGCCTTACCACCCGGGCCAAACGTAACATTATGAAACCCATTGACGGCCTCGCAACTTCTTGAAGTTGTCACTTCAAAAAACGATGCCTCGTTGACCCTCTGCACAGTAAACTTATACTGCAAATAGGCTTTTAAAATTCTTATGTTAAAAGTCTAGAAAAAACAGTGAAAAATATTTTCGAATAAAATTCATTAGCTGCGTATCGAAAAGCGTCCAAACCCTGAACCTGACATCTTCGCAAAAAGTGATGCTTGTAATGAATGTGAGAAGCATTTTAAAAGCTTAAATTAAACTTAAATGTTGTAGTCACGATCGTGTTTTGCGCTAATTTTATGAATGAACAAACTCAAAACAATAGACAGAGAAGCCGTTTCTTGAAAATTTTTATTCAAAATCTAAAAAGTTAATCCTTTAAAACAATTCGGAAAACACTATCTCGATCGTGGATCCGTTCACGCAAGTGAAATCGGCTGTGCACATGGCAAAATTCAACACAAAATCCATCTCAAATCGGGGCACATTTTGTAATTTTTCTTTAGCGCCGAAGAGAAAAATTTATAAAACGTCTATGAAACATTTAAAAATACATAAATTCCCTTTCAAAAACGTAATTGTCTTGGCCATAGAGTGCAAAATGTACCTGAAAATTCAGCAAAAACTTAACTGCCTTGGTTGCATTTCAAAACAGACCAGAGATCCGTCGCGAAGAAACTCCCCAAGGTTGAATTCCTCGAAGGACGATTTCTTGATGAAAAGCTTCCCTTCCTCCACAAAAAGAAAGCTGAGCATTCCTTTGAACTTTCTCTTTCCATTTTTTTGTCTTTTAACGGTATATTTTTAAGCCTGAAATGCAGAACTCTTGTCTTAAAACATCTGCATGATCATCGCACGGCAGCCATTGTGTTGAAAATGGTATCTGTCACTATGGTTTCCAAATATGGTAAAAGTTAATATTCACGAGCATTGAACGCGAGTTACACGTTTCAACCCCTTATGGGTTTCTGATCAAAGTCAGTTCCAACTAAGATTTTTATCATGACTTTCATTTACATCAAGCCATCAACTGGAGTGCTTCTGTTTCAACAGCCTGTTTTAATTGCACCAAGTTTCTTCTGCTGGAAGCCAGGTTAAAAGCCTTGGAACAGGTTAGTAACTGGTATGAAGATCGAATTTCAAGGGAAAACATGGATAAAACTAACAAAATGATTAAGTGCCCCGGCGTCGCTCTCGCGTGTCATTTCGTATGTCGCTCGCGCGTGACTTCTCGGAGAGCTTGCTCGCCGGTTAACAGACGAGCCAGGTGACTGGCAGGTCACCCGCGTTTAGACTGAAGCTCAGCATGTACAAAGATACCGACCAACTGAGGTAGCTCTTCTCTTTTTAAAAGAGTCTGTCACTATGTCTTTGAGCTCAGCTGAAAATACAAATGTAGTTTCATTTTTTGGGATGTTCCGTTAGAAGCTGCCTTTTGCTTTGATTTTCACTTGCTTATTTATTGGTTGATTCAAATTTGTAGAGAACCAGTAACTGAACTCTTTGATTTGTGGTGGTTGTTTCGCCGTTTCAAATTTTAGACCAAACCTTCTACCTCTAGCATGCATGCAATGGACGCCTTGTAACTTACATAACTTACAGACTCTTTTTCATGGTCGAAGGTTAAAGAAACCCATTTTCTGTTTATTTTTAAAAGAAAAGTCAAAAAGCTCCTGCCGAGGCGAGAGTTCAGGACAGCGAAATCTCAAGAGGTCCACCAGGACCTCGCGGGCCACCCGGACCCCCCGGGCCCCCCGGCAGACGAGGGGAAACCGGAGATCCAGGGCCTCCAGGTTTAAACGGAGTCCAAGGTGGGTAGGATATCAATGGAACTTAAAAACGCATTAACTTTCCTAGTCTGCACTTAAGCGTAGAAAAGCGAATCTAAATTGATTGTTTTTGTCTTTGTTACTTTCAGGGCAATCACGTGGTTTAAGAGTCCAGAAAGGCCAGAAAGGAGATCGCGGCGAGCCGGGTACCACAACAGTAGTGACCGGAGACCCGGGACCACCTGGATCTCCAGGACCCATTGGACCCCCGGGATTAAAGGGGGAACTTGGAGAATCGATACAAGGACCACGAGGACCCCCTGGACTTCCGGGTCCAGCGGGAGAACCTGGCCGCCCAGCTATCGGAGCCTCGGTGAGTTTTAAAAAGATGGTCTTAGTTTTAAGTTATACTGAAAGGCCTACGCGTAAATTTACTTGGTCATCCAGAAAAACGATCGGGGACGGATATTCTCAGAGTTAATTTTATAGAGTTATTTCGTGGAGTTAGAGCTGATCCTCCAAAATCGTGAATTCAAGATTTTGGAAAGTTAAAATGCCTTCCGGCCCAGGGGAAAATGAGCCTCTCCCATTTACAAATTTACTTCCTAGCCCCTGCTACGCAGGCTACGCTGGACCAAATGATTTTTTTCTGGCGCAGCGTGTTAATAAAATTTTAAAAAGTTTAGGCTAATACGGCGGAAGTAGTGCATGTTCAAAACTCTGCTTTTTCGCTCTGAAGCCTTTTGAAAAGATTATTATAATTGTTCTGCATTGCACTTTTTCTTTCTGAAATAGCGACATTCAACATCATTTCAATTTGCTATTCACAGAGAGCCTACAAAAGTATTTTTTTGGTAGACATGACGCGTGGTAACAAAAAGGTCTTTTTGTATTTTCAGCCTGAAGATTTAACCGTTCTTAAAGATCAGATGAAAATGCTGTCTGCCATAGTCATGGAGTTGGAAGAAAAAAGTAACCAAAACAAAGCATGAGTTTCTGTTTCTATTTAAAGATAGTTAAAGCAGAATAGTTTTGTTTATTCAGGCAAATATCAGTTAAAATTCAAAGGCAACATTTTTTGGAAGGGCCGTCTGGTTAGCTGTGCTGGTTGGATACCGCTGAGTAGTATTTCGAGGATGCTTGAACCAAATCATTCAAAATGGTGGCCTCCCATGAATGCTGGGAGGAGAACTAATGAAAATGGCGACCTCCCAGTAGGGTGGTTAGACAAACTGGTGCAAAACGGTTTTTGGAGGTGGTAGCATGAAGCGTGAGGTGGACGCGTGTTTTTGTTATTTTGTACAAAGAAGACGTTATGGAACGAGTCTTACATCTAAATTGCGCAGCAAATTGAATGTTCCTTGGCGTATTCTTATGGGTTTTGCCTACTTTCTCCAGGATGCAACTCCGATGCGTTAATTAAGGCCGCGGTACACCGCACTAAGCGACAACTTGTAGCAAATCAAACTGTTGTTGTGGCGACACGTCGCAGCGACAAATCGCTCCGTGTGTAGTGGAGAACTGTTGTGAAAATCTTTGTCTCACAAATCACTCAGTTTCGGATTGCTACACCACTATTAGCAGTTAGAGGTAGTCAGCTAGCAGTTTCCTTCTTGCTGATTGACTCTGACTTGATCTTGTTTGCTTAGTTTCCAGGTGCGAGTGCACTGCTGGGAATCAGCGAGGTGTGGCTAAAAAGAGCGACGCTACAACGTACCCTTCAACCCTACCGAACATTGAATCACAGACCACAAAAGCCACCACTTCAGAGCCATTGTTCGCTCCACCCGCCAGACGTTGAAAACGGTCCGCACGTACTTTCTATTAGTAAACGTTGAAAATTTTAACCACAATCATTGCCGTATGATATGCAATATTTTGTAAGTCACAAGTTTTAAAGCTGATTTAAAAACTCACGACGTGTCGCCAGCTTCGACATAAAATGCCCGGCACATGCTGTTGTTAGCATTTAAGAAGCAATGTTGTGACAAGGTTCTGGCGATTGTGGTGCGAGTTCTTTTCACTAAGACAAAAAAGAATTCCAAAAAGCAATTGGGAAACCGCTACCCACAGGAAAACTGTATAGGTATTAGCCATGGAGCATATCTCTTACAACAAAACGTTTGATTCTCTGTCTGGATTCAAAGAGACATTTGAAAACGAAGATTGTGCGTACGTCATCTCAGCATAATAGATAAGAAGGAGTAATTCTATATATAAAAGCTACTCCAGTTTTCGGCGACAATTTACTTTGCGAATGTTTTTTGACTATTGTACTCGCAATTTCGAGGGCATTACAAACGTCAAAGCAAGTGTTTTTGACCGGAAGTTGTTGCATATTGCTCAAATTTAGCCTTCTGCTATCGACAGATAAGGACAAAAAAAGCCCTAAAAATTGTTATTAATGAGTATTTTCACCCATGGCAAGTTCTGCCAACTGCTAGATTTCAAGATGCATTCTTTTCTCAGTGTATGTTCATTTTAATTTCAGACTATGAAAAAGTTCTCTTTTCTTATGGTGTATATAATTTTAGTCTTGTCGCTATGTCCACAAAATAACGGAAGTCCATTTTTAACCAGTGTTTCCACGTAAGTCAAAATACTATTGCAGTTTTGGTGCACTGAAAGAGTGTTTGTTATTTTATCAAAGTCTGTTTGAGAGGTCAAACATTTTCAGTACAAGTACTAAATTTACTATCATCACCCTAGGGCCACACAGAAAGAATAAGAAAGCCTGTTCCTGGCTCCGAGATAGTCGGTTCCGCGAAATTGAGAAAGCGCGAACATAAAAATAAAAAATGACAATAAAAAAATAGAAAATAATAATAATTAAAAAACGGTAGAAAACTGGGGAGAGGAAGGGCTTCCTTTTTCCCGCCACCGCCCGATTTCCCAGATCACGCGCTCATATTTTCGCGTGTTTTTCACTTACGCGGGAGATATTGGTGCGAGATTACGTCATCCCTACTACCTTAGCCTGCGTAGCAGTCAGGCGCTTGGAAGTAATGGTCGCAGGAAAGAACGGGGCGCGCAAGGGAGACACCCTCTCCCCTCGCGTGTCTCTCTCGCGCGCTCCGTTCTTTCTTCCGCCCATTACTTGCAACATTGCAAGCGCCTGCTACGTACGCAGGCTACTACTATCTAAAGGTGATGTTACGCGAGACGATTCGCAACGACGACTTTTAGCGCGACACTGCGTTGCAATGTTGCAACTATTCGAAACAACGTCGCAACAATGTTGTAATGCTGCGCTAAAAATCGTCGCCACGAATCGTTCCGTGTAACATCACCGTAAGAGCCTGGAACAGGCTAGAAAAAGATGGCTTGAAAATCAACAGGAGCAAGTTCTATAAAACCTTATAACTGCTGAGACGTCTAAAATTCAGCCCAGCCAAACTCTTTGTTTCAGTCAGACGTTGGAGGCTCCGATGCTAGCATGTCAAAGAATAAAGAATAATGCATAAATTGCTCATTCATGCTCTGAAAAGGTTTTCAAAGATATTACTGATAAATATTTCAAAATTTTGTTTATTTTCTTCATAGCTTTATACCCTTGATTGTTTTACTTTATACCCTTGATTGTTTTCACAGCCATAAAAAGCGGTTTCCGGCCTTGCGAATACTGGATTTATTTAGGTGTTTATACAAAAATGGTTTCTTCCTTTCTCTTCTTTGTAAGCACTGTGCCAGGTTTGTGCTGTGCATCAGGATGTTTATCAAGCTCCGGAGGACAGTGGCTCACCTATAAACGACACAGTAATAAGCCATTTACTAAAGACAATGTACCCCTCCCCCATGTCATAACCGCTGACAACTGTTCATGTTAGTGTTTTTTGCTTGTTATTCGCCATAGCACGACTAAGAATCCATTCGCTTATACATAAAATAATAGTAAATACGAAAATTAGTCTGATACTTAACTAGCGCCTGGTTAAAGATTTAGAGCACTACATTGGCCCTGTAACACTCAATTTTCGCCTAAGACACTATAACCCTTTTAACCAAATATTTTACATTAAATGTTAAATTTTGGGCAAACAAGAATAAACATTTTAACCCAATTCAGACTCAGATATGAACAATAAAATTCATAAACAATATACAAGATTTGCAAGAACATAAATCAGTTAGTTATAGTCGAATCAACTTTCAGTGAGTGGAAAAATGGGTTTTTTGACGCTCTGTAAAATTGAAAGCATTGTACTTACGGGACTCGCTAATAATGTCTGCTTGAGGTCATAAAACACTGCTGAGTCCTCCTGGGTCAAAAACGTGATGGCAACACCGGTTTTTCCTGCTCGACCGGTTCTACCAATACGATGAGTGTAGCCTGATAAAAAATGAAAACAATGACATGTTAGCAGCCATAGGGCACTGGCTATGTGGTGGCTTCCGTAAATTTAGGCAATAGACCTTCTTCATAATACCCGCCACCTTTGGAAGCGCGCAAGGTTGATGGAATGGGATGTCACGTGGTTTCTCATCTGAGGGAATAAACAAACTCGGCTGCGATTTCTTTTATTGACAGCTTTTATTTTTTTTGCCTCCTTAGAAACCACACGATATTTCCTTTATCCCATAAATCCTTTCGCTCGTGAGATGGCGCGTATCGTGACTAACGTCTATTCCAGCACTCACGGAATAGACATAATTTGACTGAAACATCAAAATAATCGTTCAAAATTGTCAAAGAATTACAATAATATAATACATAAAACCAAAAGTGAACAATCCATGGATGAAGAAATGAGACAAAATTAAACGCATTACATACTGGTTAACTCCGTACTTAATAAAGTTTGTATATCGTAAGATACGATTATCAACACCGTTCGTCTCGATGAATTACTTTTACTTTAAGCTTAAGGTTTCAATGTTAAACTCATCACTTACCTTCGATTGACTTGGCCATGTCATAGTTAAGAACAAGTGAAACATCCCTGGAAAAAAAATGAAATAAAGAAATCAACTTTGAGAGATTTTACTTGCGCTATAAAACACACATTTAGTGAAGAAAAAAAAAACTTCATAAGTTTGACCATCAACCCCGTTCCCAGGGTTCTCTCCGATTAACCGGTATCCAGGTTGAGTTTGGAAATGTGTAAGAAAATCATCTTCAGGACAGGAACCAACAAAAACAAGAAAACAAAGAAATCAAACTGCTTATCATAAAACTTACTTGATATCAATACCACGACCGGCTACATCAGTGGCCACAAGGATATCCTTAGCACCAGCTTTAAGACTTGACAAAGCAAACTCTCTGAAAGAAAAACAACAAAAAGAATCTTTATGACAGGTTCAGAAATAAGATGTACATGTACATGTTATGTAACCGCGTATGTTCGACTCAGTTGACGAACTAATGAAACTGAGAGAAGAGATGCATGGCAAAAATGGTTTTAAGGTTTTATCAAGCAAACGACAGGGGGCTTGTCGTGCTTGCAAAAAACGAGGGCCCGATCGAAGATTATTGTTTACAGAGCTGTTTAACCTAAAAACGGTTTTTTCTCCGGGTTTATTTGCTATTGCCCAAATTGCAACTACCACTTCGACGATCATATCTCCATTAAACATTTGTACTTCCGCACCTCACATCACCTTCATGTTTCATTCCTTTTACGGGTTAAGATGTACTCAACAAATTGGCCTGCTCCTAATGTATGGATCTTCATAGCTCAAATGTTGGGTTCGCTGAAGTCCCGAAATTTTTTTTCGGGTTTATTTGCAATTGCTTAAATTACAACTACCAGTGCGACGATCATATCTTATCTGCATTTTAAAAAAAACTACAACACTGGTGTAGAAAACATTCGGGAATTTCACTGAAACATTCTTCCATCCGTCCAATATCCTTGTTTTCTTAGTTTCCTATACTCTCTGTGTCTCGCTAGATTTACAAAACAGACATTTAACAACCATGACGACGAAATAACAAGAGGTTACATCTAAACCTCACCTCTGTTCTTGGTTTCGTCCACCGTGGAGTGTTGTAGCACGGAACTATAAAAAAACTCAGGAAGTTATGTCAGTACCCGTTCTCGGGAACGAAAATTAAAAAAAGGAAGGTATGCAACTGCAGAAACAAAAGGATAAAAAAGATCGAAGATCAAATCAAATAGTGGGCAAACCAGGCACTTTTAAGAATGACAGTGATAAACGTTTGCCCCGAGTGTTCACGATCCGCCTTATACGTTGTCCGTCAAAACTGACGACGAAAACAGGATTTGCTTGGTTTACCAGGCCCAAAAATCTCTTATATAAAAACAATTAAGTAATTCGCAATGGCGTTCAAGCAGCCACTGGTAAAACAACAACAAACCATAGTCATCATCGAAGAGAAAAGATATAAAATCACCGACGCCCAAAGACACAAACGATAACTTACGCCCATTTTTTCCAGGGACTTGGCGAGCACGTCTGCTCCCTAAGAAAGACATAAAATGAGTTAATCAGCAAAACCTTATTGCAGATATGTTGTCTAATAAGTAACAATTATTAGTAAAATCCATTTAGTGGTCTATTATCAATGCTGCGTTCTGATTGGTTGAGCTACTAATAGGCTATATGTTATAGCCAACTAGTAGCGAAAAGCGCGCGCTTTTTGGCCGCAAAAAAGGATTAAGGTCTAGCTTTAACTAGCTAAAATTTTCTTATTTTCGATATTTTTGACAAATTAGTTGGATTTTACTAAAACAATTATTCCTCTCGCCCTCATGGCCTCTGAGTCAATAGCCCATTCGGCCTTCGGCCTCATGGGCTATTGACTCAGAGGCCATGAGGGCGAGAGGAATAATTGTTAAGTAACCTTAAGATTTGATTTGGAGTGCGAGATCATCGACTAGGAGTATGACATTGGAATTCACTCCAAGCCATTTATGTTCTCAGGGCTCTCACTCTTTCCTGCTGCTAACAAAATTTAGAGAGACGTAAGAGATTGTTGTGAAAAGTGTTTATCTGGAGCTCATGAACTTGGTTTGAAAGCTCCTACTCAATCTCCTACTCGTAATCCAATCTCAGGCTGTATTCATACTATAACGGACAGCTTTTCGTGCCGAAGCGAGAAGGTATCCGGTACAGTACGAAAACTTATCCGATATGTGACTCTCCACTTAAGAGATCGGCATGGCGCAGCTTCGCTCCGTTACAGAAACCGCTCCGAAACCATCGTTCTTATGTGTGAACAGAAGCCCTAGTGTCTGGTATGGTTTTTGTGCCGGCGCAAACTCTGTCTGGTATAGTGGGATCATAGCCTAAAGGTCCCTGACAGCCTGTCGCAAGATCTCAGATAGAAACAGCGGACGAAACCAAAGGGGTGAAAAAAGACTAGCCAGCATTGAAGACGTGAAAAGGGGAAGTAAGGTACGTGAGTACATGAAAGGCGCGCGAGGGCTTCTCTCCTTCCTCGCGTGCCCATTTCGTTTACCCTATCCCCTTCAAACGCCTTCCACGCGGGCTAAACGAAGACAAGGAGGGAGTCAGTGAATGAGGGCTCCGTCCTCGCTCTCACCCATCCTCGTTCACTTTCTGTGGGTTTCTTTTTTTGAACGTCATCTCAACTATCCGCTGCGGTGACACGCAACTCTCACCTTCTTTTGATTGACAAATATCATGATCGGAGGATCAATGCCAGCGTTCAATATCTCTAACAGCTTCTTCCTGTCAAGCAAATAACAATAAACAGTTTTAAAATGACTGGTCCCGAGCGAAACAGTTAATGTTATTTCCTAATAAGCCGACGGAGACATTGAGATTCGAGGGAAACAAATTTAACTGTTTCCCGAGGAACCAGTGATTTGTAATATAGCTGGAAATTCATTAAATCTCGCTGTCACGGTCAACGTTCGCAGGTAACACTGCACGGTTACCCTCTGACAGCGTAGATTTTGCAATGTTGCCCGCTTAGAGATTTTGGCGGGAAACCGTTTCACTATTAGATGTCATGTGACCTCAAAGTAACCAATGAGAGCGTGCGCAATTAGGAAGAAATTTCCAGCTGTATAATTAACAATTATTCTTTGAAATCGAGGTGAATAGTGGCAAAATATTTACCGAGCCGCGAAAGCGGCGAGGTAAATATTCCCAAAGCCACTATTCACCGAGATTGAAAAGAATAATTGTTTTAGTATATACACACAAAGTGATCTCAACAAAATCAGAGAGGAAACCATTCAAAAGTACGATTTGATTGACAGATCAAATCACGCGTAAGTTTAAAAATAGATCTTTGCAGAATTTTCAAACATGGCAATTCACAAGTTTATCATTTCGCAAACAACAGCGTAATGGCTTAAATGGAACCGCTAAAAGTTTGAACTGTTTCCTTACCTGAGAAGAAAAGTAGAGCTGTGTTGTTTTCTGTTGACTCGCCAAGTTTATAGCCAAAAGGGTTTTTTGTGTCGTTCTTCGCATGAAGTGCTGACAAAAATGGCGGCTCGGTTGCTTGAGGTAAGACGTCGTCTTCCTGTATCATTCTTTTTCCTGTTTACTTGAAACGTAGAATTTCTGCAAACATTCTCTTTTAAATTTGTTTGTCATAAATAAACTTCGATTTTTGAGCCAAAATTTTCTTCTTAGAAAACGCTGAGTTCACGAAACGGCTTCTTCTACGCGAATACACGGGAGCTGTAAACAATCCATCGAGCACAAAACTCAGCTACAGTAAATTGAAAAACCCCGTATTGAATCCATCCAAGTCTTTTCTTGCCTTAAAAAAAGTCAGGCCTAGGATTTTGTCGACTTTTAAAAGATCGTTCTCTAAAAAAATGGGAAAAACACCGAGCTCACACATTATCCACTCGCTAGGAGGTGAATATTGTTGAATAGTCCCAGATGGCGAACCAATCAGATTGCTTAAATCACCAAGATCACAGAGTGTGTATATACTAACAAGAATTATATGACAGTTTGCCCACAATACTAATCAAAAATCGCTTTTCTACCAGTAGTACCAAAATGCCAGTTTGAGTTAATATTCATCTGAATTGGACAAAAAGATACACAGCAAAACGTTATTGGTAGCTTGGAGATAAGATGTGAAGTGCCAGGATAGACTAACATGAAGGAAGAGCAGAGTTTTACGATAAAAAAAACTACAGTACACCGCAAATAATCTCGCGCTAATAAATTTAAATACATTGCTACAGTTTAATAAACATGTAAAGGATGATACACGCAGGCGTACCTCTTTGCTTGTTCTTTAACCAAATAAACTTTCTGTTCCACTCTCTCGACTGGTCTGCCTGTGAAGTGATGAGAGAAAGTTGAATTACTTTAATACAGAAACACAAATAGAAGAGCTGCCCGCTTTAATAACCTGGACAATATTTCAAAACCTCCAATTATGTTTTTCTAGACAAGAAAACTTTGCTTAAAATTAGGTTTTACCCTGGTTTACACTTAGCTGATATCTTTTGAGGAACCGGGCTCGCAAGTTGAACCTGACAACTGCAGTTTAGATCATAACGTGGTAAGCTACTTTACAGGAAATCATCCCTGGCATAATTCAGTATGGTGTAAAACTGGCTGGACATGCAGCGTCAATGACCGATGTGTGACCGTCATAATCCAGCAAAGGGAAAGAAAAATGAAACAGAAAGATCTCCGTTCTTATACACTGCATATCCCGTTGAAGGAGAGTAAACACAGACTTGATCTTAACAATAGTTACCTATAGAACCGATGTAAACCACAGCTGGGCGCCTGAAAGAAAAATAAACCATCACAACGTTAGGTTCCCAATCATTTAAGGCTGCTTCTTAAGAGAGAATTCCACGTCAATACTTCTCGTTTTATAATGTATATCAGCGAACGTATCACTGCCTAAACGTACAGATGATGATAAATATGATGAGAATTGGAATATGAGTGCTGATATTGGGGCTTAAAGGGTACGAAGAAGCGTGGCCGAGCGGTTAGTGCGTTGGACTTGCAATCCGAAGACCCTGGGTTCAATACCCGCCCTAACCGCTAGCTGGATTTGTTCAAATCCTCAATCAAAGTTGTAAATATCCAACTGGTTTGCCTCTATGCAGTTGGTAGTGTTAGTCTTGTTACGTGTATGGGCAAATTCCAAGTTGTCCCAAGCCCCTGTTTTAAAACGAAGCTAAGTGTGCAAAGTCTTTGATATGAAAACGATTTTTTAATTCTCAAGCAAATGAAATTCATTTTCACAAATGGGGTCATGCACACGGCCTCGCTTTTTTAAAGTGAGGGTTTTTCGAGCAAGGGAATGGTCTATTTGATCTACTTCTTTCAGTCGTTTGCTCGGTCTCACCAGCCTTGCGCAGTAAACACTGCTGGGGGGTTAGAATGCGACCGGTCTCTCTTTTTCTTTAGATTTAGGGAGGGAAATGCACGCGCGCGAGCGTCGAGCGAAACGCAAGAAACGAGGGCGGCAGCCCGAGAAGATAAAAGATAGTCTCTCTTTTTTCGTGCCTCTCCCGTCTCGCGCCTTCAGTCACGCGCGTGATAGATCGTCAATAAAGCACATCTATTTAGAAAACACAGTTTCAGTAAATAGTCAAACCGATAACTGACCTTAGATAGTTTCTGGCCAAGCGTTCTACTTGTGGAGGCTTTGTTGCCGTAAACATTACAGTCTAAACAAGGTGAAACAGAACAGCCCATGATAAGAATCTCAGTCCACAGGTCTTTAGTAATATTGTTCAAAAGTTCAACTGATGGTTACACTGCACTGTAGTAGTGTCAACTGACTAGAGTCTCAACTTCATCTCTTCGACGAGACGTCTGCTATTTTTGTTGTTGAGGCAAACGAAATACGAAGGCTAAAAACAGATATTAGTGAGTTTACGCAACAGGACTGCAGGAAGAAGAGGACGGCAAAACAGTTGTGTGACAAACGTAACAGGGCTATTACTTGGGAGTGTTGTCGTGGTCTTCACTTATCATTAATGTTTTCTGGTCTGTTTTTTCAAACAAAATTATTGTCACGCTTGTCACACAAGGTTTGCCGTCTCCTTTCCTTTCCCGTCCTGTTGGGTAAGTTCACTATTATATTAAAGGCAACTTCATGTGAACCGTGAAAATTCTTTAAGCCCCGCCTAATTCTAACAAGCGCCCCAGTCTAAAAACACAGAAACACTGAGCCCGCGGTTTAATTAAGAAATCAATAAATAAATTTATTTATTTATACGAACCTGTCTAAACTTGTCCTTTCCCATATAAGCTAACAGCTTTTCTGGATCCTCGGCATCTTCTGAATCAGGTTTGACGTTGCTCACTGGAAGATGCTCCAAGATCTTCTGAACATCAGGTTCAAAGCCCATGTCAATCATACGATCAGCCTACAATAGTACCACAGACATGGCTCAGATTCTCTGAAGACGAAAGATTGAGTATAGAGTAGGGCTTTCCATCGCATTTTCCTTAGTAAAATAGCTTATTCTTTATCTGATTCAAAATTTCGCAAAAAAAATTAAAAACAAATTAAAACTACTAACCTCATCTAGAACAATATATGAACAGCGACTGAGTACAAGGTATCGATTTTCTGTAGAAGAAAGAAGAACAAAAAGCTTCAACCAATTACTTCAAATCTTATGAACAACGAAATTGCAAAAAAAGAAGAGGATGGCGTATTTTTTTACATTACAATGTTATTTCGAGAAAAAAAAAAACGCTAGAAAACCAATGATTGTAGTTTTCGAATCATCTCGTGATACTGTGGGATGCCAACACTGCAGAAGCAAAAATGAGAAATATAAAGAAAACATTTACCGAGTACATCAATCAGACGACCAGGTGTAGCAATGACAATCTGGAAAAAAAAAATAACGGCGTAAGTACTCAGCGATACATGTTAATATGAAAGGCAACAAACACTTCTCTACAACTCCCCACCTTAAAAGGAGAGGGAATCTGGGCCGAGTTAACTTTTGCAAAGACTTCTGGGACTCTTACTAGGGACATGAAAAAACATTGGCAAATAGCTGACCAGCACTTCCCTAGTAACGATCCCATAAACACTTGCGAGATGCATTTCGGCTCCAGTCCCCTTCTCATTTCTCAAGTGGTGAATGAATTTTTCTTCACTCTCATTGTCTCGCTCTGGCCACGAAGGCTAGTTGTAGCAAACGAAAGGGGAACAGATTAGCTTACCTCGCAGCCAAGCCTTAGCTGAAATCCTTGGTCCTCGCGAGAAAGCTGGAGATAATGAATAAAGGTAAGCTGCGGTGACACGCAACTCTCACCTTCTTTTGATTGACAAATATCATGATCGGAGGATCAATGCCAGCGTTCAATATCTCTAACAACTTCTTCCTGTCAAGGAAACAACAATAAACACTTTTAAAATGACTGGTCCCGAGCGAAACATCTAATATTAATTTCCCGAAGTGATTTGTTATATAGTTATATAGCTGGAAATTCGTTAAACCTCGCTGTAACGGTCAACGTTCGCAGGTAACAGTGCATTATAAAATAACTAAGATAGTACGCGTGCTCTGATTGGCCGAGAGGAGTGTTTGCATGAGAGTATGTAAACATGGTTGTGGGGTCAAAATTTTTTTATTTTCCCGCGCTAATCACGCAAGCACGAATTTGAAAAAGTTTTCGAGTTCAAAACTCGACAAGTTTACTTTATTTACCCATTCCTCCTTTTCGGCTGAAACTTGGAAAATCGATACGAAGAAGGTGTGTCAATTTTTTTTCGCTTAAGCTGACAGTGTAAGCGAGAAAAATCCGTATTTTGAATAGCATCTTTTTGCAAAACAAGAACTGATTACGCATGCAAGACTTCGTGTACAAGACTTTGTGACTGGTAAGAATTTCTCTTTTAATCAGTGCCATAACAAAGAGTTTTGCGTTTTTTCTCGGGGAAGTTATTTTACAAAAGCAATAGAAAACTTTTTTTCTGTGTTTGAATAGCCTGATATAAACACTCGAGGGGTTAGGAGAATTCGAGACAGTTATGCAAACCCGAGACGAAGTCGAGGGTTTGCATAACTGTCTCGAATTCTCCCAACCCCTCGAGTGTTTATATCAGGCTATGCAAACAAGGAGAACGTTTTCTATTGCTTAACTGTTACCCTCTGACGTCATAGATTTTGCAATGTTGCCTGCTAAGAGATTTTGGCAGGAAACAGTTTCTTTGTTAGATGTAATGTGACCTCGAAGTAACCAATGAGAGCGCCCGCTGTTGGAAGAAATTTCCAGCTATATAACAACAACAATTACATGACAGTTTCCCCACAATACTAATCAAAAGTCGCTTTTCTACCTATAGCACCAAAATGCCAGTCTGAGTTAATATTCATCTGAATTGGACAAAAAGATACACAGCAAAACGTTATTGGTAGCTTGAAGATAAGATGTGAAGTGCCAGGATAGACTAACATAAAAGAAGAGCAGAGTTTTACGATAAAAAAACTACAGTACACCGTAATTAATCTACATACATTGCTACAGTTTAATAAACATATAAAGGATGATACACGCAGGCGTACCTCTTTGCTTGTTCTTTAACCAAATAAACTTTCTGTTCCACTCTCTCGACTGGTCTGCCTGTGAAGTGATGAGAGAACATTGATTTACTTTAATACAGAAACACAAATAAAAGAATGACCTTACAAAGCTACCTGCTTGAATTCCCTGGACAAGATTTCAAAACCTCCAATTATGTTTGTTTTTCTAGCCTAAGAAAACATCCGTTTCTCCTCGCTCTTCGCCGCTGGGGACGTTTCGCGCGGAGGAACGTCTGCGACTCAGCGACAGAAATTCCATACTGATGACGTGTCCCCAGCGGCGAAGAGCGGGGAGAAACGGATGTTTTCGCAGGCTATTGTTTTTCTGGACAAGCAAACTTTTCTTAAAATTCGGTTTCACCCGGGTTAAACTGAACTGATATCTTTTGAGGAACCGGGCTCGCTAGTTGAACCTGACAACTGCAGTTTAGATCATAACGTGGTAAGCTATTTTTCAGGAAATGAGCCTGGCACAATTCAGTATGGTGTAAAACTGGTTGGACATGCAGCGTCAATGACCGATGTGTGACCGTCATAATCCAGCAAACAGAAAAAAAAAAGAAACAGAAAGATCCCCGTTACACTGTCTATCCCGTTGAAGGAGGGTTAAAACAGACTTGATCTTAACAATAGTTACCTATAGAACCGATGTAAACCACAGCTGGGCGCCTGAAAGAAAAATAAGCCATCACAATGTTAGGTTCCCAGTCACTTAAGATTGCCTTTTAACAAAGAATTATTCGTCAATGCTCCTCGTTTTATGATGTAGATCAGCATCTAATTGCTCCCTAACGTATCACTGCTTAAACGTATAGGTGATGATAAATATGATGGGAATTGGAATGTGGGTGCTGATATTAGGACTTCAAGGGTACGAAGCAGCGCGGCAGAGCGGTTAAGACGTTGGACTTGCTATCCAAAGACCCTGGGTTCAATACCTGCCCTAACCGCTTGCTGGATTTGATTAAATCCTCAATCTATCCAGAAGGTATTCTTAGTCTTGCTACGTGTATGGGCAAATTCCAAGTTGTCCAAAACCTCTGTTTTAAAACGAAGCTAAGTGTGCGAAGTCTCTGATATGAAAACGATTTTTTAAATCTCAAGCAAATGAAATTCATTTTCACAAATGGGGTCATACACACGGCCTCGCTTCTTTAAAGTGAGGGTTTTTCGAGCACGGGAATGGTCTATTTGATCTATTTCTTTCAGTTGTTAGCTCGGTCTCACTAGCCTTGGTGCGGTAAATACTGCTGGGGGGTTAGAATGCGAGCAGTCTCTCTTTTTCTTCAGATTTAGGGAGGGAAATGCACGCGCGCGAGCGTCGAGCGAGACAGAAGAAACGATGGCGGCAGCCCGAGAAGATAAAAGAGAGTCTATCTTTTTTCGGGCCTCTCCCGTCTCGCGCCTTCAGTCACGCGCGTTATGTTCGACGGACCAAGAAAAAAGAGAGACTGCTCGAAATCTACCGGGGGTATATACCGGGATTATTTATTATTTAGTTAGTTCTAGTTAATGTGGGCGGCTTTGTGTGCGGATAGATCGTCTATTCTATTTAGAAAACACAGTTTCAGTACAAACCAATAACTGACCTTAGATAGTTTCTGGCCAAGCGTTCTACTTGTGGAGGCATTGTTGCCGTGAACATTACAGTCTAAACAAGGTGGAACAGAAAAGCCAGTGATACGAATCTCAGTTCAAAGGTCTCCAGTAATATTGTTCAAAAGTTCAACTGGTGGTTACACTACATTCTAGTAGTGTCCACTGACTAGAGTCTCAACATCATATCGACGAGACGTCTCCTATTTTCGCTTTGGAAGAAAACGAAATGTGAAGGCTAAAAACAGATATTATATTAAAGGCAAATTCATGCGAACTGTGAAAATTCTTTAAACCCCGCCTACTACTAACAAGCTCCCCGGCCAATAAACACTGAAACATTGAGCCCGCGGTTTAATTAACTAACTTATTTATACGAACCTGTCTAAACTTGTCCTTTCCCATATAAGCTAACAGCTTTTCTGGATCCTCGGCATCTTCTGAATCAGGTTTGACGTTGCTCACTGGAAGATGCTCCAAGATCTTCTGAACATCTGGTTCAAAGCCCATGTCAATCATACGATCAGCCTACAATAGTACCACAGACATGGCTCAGATTGTCTAAAGACAAATGATTGAGTATAGAGTAGGGCTTTCTATCGCGTTTTCCTTTGTAAAAAAGCTTATTCTTCATCTGATTCAAAATAACGCAAAAAAATATAAAACAAATTGAAACTACTAACCTCATCAAGAACAATATATGAACAGCGACTGAGTACAAGGTATCGATTTTCTGTAGAAGAAAGAAGAACAAAAAGCTTCCACCAATTACTTCAAATCTTATGAACAACGAAATTGCAAGTTTGCCATGTCTAAGAGAAGATACAGTCAGATTCTTTTTCGCCTTGATTTTGAATACCTTAGTTTAACTCTATACCATTTCCAATTCCGGCACCGCCATCAAATGGGCACCAGAACTGAAGGCACGAAAAACAGAGAAACCCTGAAATACAAGGAGAGGAACAGTAGAGAAAGAACTAATGGAGTTAGGACGGGGGTCCTGGATTGAAATCTTCATTGATTCCAGGAACAGAGGCCGTTGATGAAGGAAAACGTCCTACCCTGTTTAACCCAAATAAAAACTTACTACACTGCCACAAGACAACTATACTTGGCTAAGGACGGTTCGGATAAAAGTAGACTCATAGATAAAAAGAAGAGGATGGCGTATTTTTTTACATTACAATGTTATTTCGAAAAAAAAAAACGCTAGAAAACCAATGATTGTAGTTTCGAATCATCTCGTGATACAGTAGGATGCCAACACTGCAGAAGCAGAAATGAGAAATATAAAGAAAAGATTTACCGAGTACATCAATCAGACGACCAGGTGTAGCAATGACAATCTGGAAAAAAAAATAACGGCGTAAGTATTCAGCGATACATGTTAGACGCCAAAAGTGAACTGACAGCATTTTGGTTTTGGTTTCATTTATGTGATCGGTTGGTTTCCCGCATCATTTTGGTTTTGGTTTGGTTAAGGAGTTAATGAAAGCTGTCAGTTCACTTTTGGCCTCTAATATGAAAGGCAACAAACACTTCTCTACAACTCCCCACCTTAAAAGGAGAGGGAATCTGGGCCGAGTTAACTTTTGCAAAGACTTCTGGGACTCTTACTAGGGACATGAAAAAAACATTGCTGACCGGCGCTTCCCTAGTAACGATCCCATAAACACTTGCGGGACGCATTTCGACTCCAGTCCCCTTCTCATTTCTCAAGTGGTGAATGAATTTTTCTTCACTCTCATTGTCTCGCTCTGGCCACGAAGGCTAGTTGTAGCGAACGAAAGGGGAACAGATTAGCTTACCTCGCAGCCAAGCCTTAGCTGAAATCCTTGGTCCTCGCGAGAAAGCTGGAGATAATGAATAAAGGTAGGTGTTATTTGACTTTTTATTTATTTATTTTATGGCTGACTGCTTATCTCTCTTTTCGATTCCAAAATCCCATTTGACTCAAACGCTGTATTTAGACTTTCTGATAAGCGACTACCTCCGGGCTCAACAGCCATAAAATTCCGTTTCACGCATTTCTCAGGGAATCACTTTATCGTTATTTCGGAAACCGAGCAACAACCGCCTCTACGAATTATAGGAAAGCAATTCTAAGCTCGGAGGGAAGTTGGAGAAGGAATGGATTGTTTTCACATGACGTCACGGCGGCCATATTGGTGTTCCAAAACAATGAAACGGCGGCCATGTTGGTGTTCCAAACCAGTCCTGTGGGAGTTGAACTCTTTTTCTTATGCAAACGCTCTCTTTTGTTCCAATAAATTTGCATAGATGCTGGCCACGTGAGTGAAAAAACTCTATAAACGCAAGGTTGAAAACCTTAATCCTGTTCCATTTTTCTCGAGACCGGGCGTTAAGGCGGATTCGATGCGCGAAAATGATTTAAGATGATGTTACACGGGACGATTCGCAAGGACGATTTTTATCACAACACAGCGTTGTAACATTGTTTCGAAATATTACAACATTGTTCGAACACTGCACCCAGGGTATCTACGACACCATCGATAACGACATTGTCAGACTTATGCGTAAATTTCTTACCCCACCAATTACAGACACTGTCCTGAAACCAAGAGGACGACCAAACTTGGCAGCTTCATCTTCGATCTGCCAAGATTAGAAAAACAAACACACCGTGGCTCGGGTTTAACGCGGTATACCTTTGTAAAAATAAAAGTACTTACTTTCAACCTACGGCACGAATCCTGGTGAGTTAGTCGAACTGATAGTTTACGGTCATTTAGCCCCTCCTGCTGACAAGAAGGCGTACTACCGTCTTAAGGAACCAGCTTTTAGATAATTTTGTAAATGCTTCTTAGTTAAGTTAAGTATTATAATTAGTAACAAGTTAAGCACTGTAATCATTAATAATGTAGGTGTTGTAATTGAATGTAATGATTGTAAATAATGTTGTTCTTGAAAAGCCCCTTTGGGAAGGAAACAAGAAAGTATGTCTGTACGTATGTACTAATCCCATGAATTAGGGTACACAACAAAAACTAGGCGTTTTTCGTAAACAAATAACCGCTGCTCTTAGGGCACAACGCAACGGAAGCGTGAATTCCGACACGCGAGCCTCATCTGTTTGGCGAAACGGTTGGCGCGAGTTGACAAGAGGCCCTCATCCCTACTCGCCTGAGGGCGGATTGACCGACTAACCTGTTGTGCCAGTTCCCTGGTGAATTGACATGAGGCCCTTATGCCTACTCGCCTGAGGGCGAATTGACCAACTAACCTGTTGTGCCAGTTCCCTGGTGAGTTGACATGAGGCCCTTATGCCAACTCGCCTGAGGGCGAATTGACCTAACTGGTTGCGCCAGTTCCCTGGTCGGAGCTAAGATTACAGCGTAAGGTCCCTTATCAGCATCTGCGTCACGTTCAATCTTTGGCAGCCCCATAATCCACACCAATAAAGGAATCAGAAATGCTGCTGTTTTACCACTACCTTTTTATTGAAAAAAAAAAATGTTATCTGCCTATTCTCAATATCCGTGTGACCTATTGCAATACAATTTCTATAGCTAAAATTTTCCCAATAGTCAACCCTACTGGGTTTTCACTTCACCTGTTTCAGCTACTCCTATGATGTCCCTGTTCTGAAGTCCAATAGGAATGGCTTGGCGCTGAATTGGTGTTGGTTCCTATGAACACACAGGATAGATAATCTACCAGTTGTTCTAAAGTTTTACTTTCGGTTTGGACGAATAAAACATTTGTACGAGTTGAAAGAGCTTTTTCACATGGAAAAATCATAAAATTCTGAGCGTAAACTCTGCGCTACAGATAACATCACTTTTTTCATTTAAAGTAGATGAAACCTCCCAGTAAATAAACAGATAAAAAAATCGACTTTATGTAAAAGTCAGTTGTATTCAAAGTGGTCATCCAAACCGCGCGAAGGTCTAGCCGTTTGCCAGGCGCAGAACCTTCTGTCTCAGTTCTTTTGCAACCTTCTAATCTGCGACCATTGCTGATCTACCAACTGAGGTAACCCTGCTGTGGTTAAATAAATGACTAGATTAAGAAAAGCATAGCCGATGATGCTTCGAGATTTTTTTTCAATGTATACTCTGACAGTCTAACCCTCATACCAAGTGTGCAAGGAATACTAACATTGCCTCCGTCTTCCAAACCTTACAAACTATGAATAGCGGTGTAAAGAAACAGTTTCACTGGAAATGTGAAAATTAAACCAGCGCCATTCAGGTTGTGACATTTGGGCGGGGATAAGTGACTAAGCAAAAGGGTTACCGGTCGTTTCGATACAAGTTTTTGTTAATTCCTTCAAGGTGTAAATAGTTTCACGTACTTGGCTTAAAGAACGAAGAATATTCAACCAAAATGTATTTCTTGTTCAATTGCAAACTTTGCTGGAAGTGATCGAAATTTTTGTGCAATTTCACTTCTTGAGTTCGTATCGAACGACTAGTATCGAAACGACTTTGTATCAAAATGACCGGCTTACCTCATATTGCAGTTTGTCTACAATATCCAATATTGATGTTGGAAGGGTGCTTTCTCTCCACGAGCGCAGAGGAAATGGAATCTTGCCACCTGCAATGAGGAGTGAGAAAATACATTAAAAACCGGTGAGTAAGAAAATATTTTTTCCCTGATTAGCCTTAACAGGTTCAAGTTACATAAATGGTACTTAGCACAAAATTAGGCTATTTAGGTTCTTAAATTGCTTCTTATTTTTTGAAAAAAAAAATCCCTTGTAGCTAAGAGTAGTTAGTGGTAATCAGCTCATTCCTTGGGTAATAAGACTTCAGTTGTTGTTTTTCTTCAGTTGCGACGGAAATGACAATTAAGACTGCAACAATGTTAGCATTTAACAGTGCACAGAGTAATCCACAGACAAAAAGAAAAAAAAAAAACGGATAAACCAAGGCCAGGACCAAAAACGACAAGATTTCAACAGCCTGTCCAAGAATCTCTTGCCTTTTGTAGAGATGGCAAAATCTTCTCGCAAGATCCGCCAATCTCTTTCCACCATTTCCTCCAAGGATTTTTTGCTCCAGTGACGATCATCGAACGCACGCTGTCTTTCCTGATCACGCTGCTTCTTTATTCGCGTCCTAAAAAAGAAGGAACCACGAGTCACGTTTACGGCAAACGGCAAACGGAAATTTGTACCACGTGACCAAGTTTCCCCTTTCCTTGTCGTTTATTGTTTTTTATAATAATTATCTACTTAAATGTAGAGCTTTAGGGTGTATTAAAAATCCGGATTGGGATTTTAGTAAAGAAACGCACCCTTAGATTCTTTGACGAGGACGACTACAAGTACAAGATTTTCTCAATACTGAGTATTGCTCATGCGTAAACCAGTGTCATTTTGGCGGGAAAACGTGATAACCGTCGTCATTCTACAACGGGTTTTAGCGAGAATGTCGTAGTGGCCGGAATAAGTTATCAAATGTAAGAAGTTTTATCATTTTGCGATCGGGAGAGGGCTTAACTTCCCTCAGTATAAATAACCGTACTGACTTTTTTGGTGAAAAAAGTACAATGAAGCTTTCCTTAGTGTCTCTTTCTTTGAGAACACGCGCAAAAACTTTAAGTTAAATCTCGCACTCGTCCTCAGATCTCAAGCTCTCTAATATTAGAAGTTTTATGCCACTGAGGTTCATCAGTAAGAAGGATTTTGGACAGTTTTTACCTTCTCATTTCCAAATTTGAGAAATTGTCAACTTAAATCTGACGTTTACCGTTTCCCGTAAACGTTATTCTAAATCTCTACAATAATTACAGCGAACGCTCTCTTGAACGGATACCCTCGAGAAGCAGAAACAGTATCCACAACTGGAGCATGGTTCGAACAGAGTTTTGGATGGCGGACAATTCGAGGCTTTTCCAGAACTTTTTCTAAAACAATACAATACTTTCTTTTTCCACACTCAAAGTTTTCTAACAGGCAAACGATGGAAACCTCGATTGACAAACATGTACGCTGGAACCAGGCTTTCCAATAATGCACGGCAAACGTACATCAATCACAGTGCAATGCGGACATAAGACATAATTTGTCCCGTTCGGGACAATATTTTATCTCCTCTAAGATTGAACTAATTTCAAATGCAATTCGCGTCAGTGTTAGTAGTTTTTTTGTTAATTATTGACAAGATGAGATACTTACGCCTCTTGGGTCTTTTCCTCAACAGTTCGTCTTGTCTCCAACATTTCCTGATAAAACTTTCCTGTTTCCTTCTTTTGCCACTGGGAAGAAAAAAAATTCATTTTCCAAGGATTTTTACTTTAAGACTTGTCACCTCACTACATACTAACATTCTAATACACAGCCGAGCCTCGCAAGGACGGCCACCTAAGGGCCAGAGTGGCTGTTGTAGAGGGGTTAACCACTTTAATCCTAATAAAGGCCAAAGAAAAAATACATCACTAGAAAATTCATATTTTCTTTGGAGACTGAGCCGTGTCCATTGAGACGTAGAAAGTTTAAACCTTTCCTGGCATAATATTAGGCAGCTTTAGCAACAACAACGGCCACGACAACGAGAACGGCAAAAAGCAGTAGGTTTATTAAGCAAAACAACAACTCTATACGAGCATCATGCTGTTTTTTCGTGGTTGCAGGACTAGGACGTGAACTTCCTAATTTCACATTTTATGAAGGAAGTGAACAAGAGAAACGATAGCTTTTCGTGTGCTCATCTAGTGTGAATACCTATCCGATATGGGACCCTCCACAGATCAGTGCGGCGCCGCGCAGCTTCGCTCCGTCACGGAAATCGCGCCGGAATCACCGCTCTTATGTGCGAACAGAAGTCCTGCCCGGTATAGTTTTCGAGTCGGCGCAAAAGCTATCTGTACTAGTGTGAACATAGCCTTAGTTTTTCTTTTGCTGAACTTACTTACGGTCATTTAGAATTCAACTACAGAAAAATTCGCCAATATTGGACAATGAGATGGAATAAACGCCAAGAGGTTTGAAGCATCGCGAATTCTCTTTTTGTGTGACGTTTGCGCTTCCGTCGCCGTTGTAGATGCTAGAGCACCCTAATGAGGGACTGTGGTTAGGAACTTGAATAATAGAGACCTTAGCTTTAAATTCCAAGAAGAGGACGACTTCGAGGACGAGATTTTCAAGTAGTGCTCGCGGATGAGTCAGCGTCATTTTGGCGGGAAAACGCGATAGCCGTCGTTATTCTACTACGAGTTTTAGCGGGTACAGAAACAAGTTAGTATCAAGACGCTCATGAGAGAACTCATCCTCGGAGACCCAGGGGCAGTTAGTCGAACATTTTATCGACCCGACTAACTGCCCCTGGGTCTCCGAGGATGGAGAGAACTTTAAAACCTTCTTCAATAAAAATAACTGTGCTTACTTTTCTGGTGAAAAAAGTACAATGAAGCCTTCCGGGGTTGGATTTTTTGAGAATACGCGAAGAAAATCAAACTTAAATCCCGTCCTCGTCCTCCGCTCAAGGTCTCTATTGTGATGGCTGATATAAAAAAAGATCGATGTAGAAAGGAGTAGTTTGAGGAGTCTCGGCTCAGGCCGAAGGATGCTGATAATGACGATGAAGAAGTGTGTACATGTACACCTCAAGGGAAGGATCTAGGGGGAGGGTGGAGGGGTTGGCGCCCCCCCCCCCCCTTTAAGATGACCTGCGGCTTTTAAATACAACTGGTATTCTCCCCCCCCCC